CCATTGTCATTTTTATAGAAAAAAAGAGAAGAGAGAGAAAGAGAGAGGGAGGGAGGAGGAAGGAAAGAAAAGAAAAAAGGGAAGAAAGATGTTAGGCTTTTTTACTTTAGTGAAATAAGTTATAATGCTGAAAAGGGCTCTAGAAATCATCTAGCACAGTGATTTCCAACTTCTTTCAGTATGAAGCCCTATTTTTAACAAACATATTGTTTTTAGGACCTTGCAAAATAGCAATTGTTCTTTTGGTAAGTATTGATCAGAATATATTGGAAAAGATTTATAAATTAAGTGACATTTTATGATTAAATTTACACTTTGTTAGAACAATAGCATCTATATATATTTGGAAAATTGGTGCATATGTGCAAATAACATGACATTCTGGCTAGGGATAATAAAGATTAAGATTTGAAAAGTTTATGAAGTAACAGCATTTCTGCAACAGAATCTCATTCAGTTGGGAAATACAGAATTTCTCCAATTCATTCTTTTTATATTTATAAAATGAAAACAAAACAGATGAGGAAAGTTGCCCAAGGTCAGATTAATGAAAAATTTAGATTAATGTTTCTGCTGGCCAAATAATCTTTTCATAATGCCAAATATCATCCCCAATAAGGAGTTAGTCAATTATGTTTCTAATAAATCAGACCAGACACTTGAAGCAAAGATGACTTTAGCTTACACCTTTTTTGTTTGATCATGTCAATTTTGTTTGGTTGTATTAACATATGTTAAGACCAGATTTAGTAATTAAGCTGTAATTAGAATAAAAATTATTGAGTTATACTAGATTGCCAGCAATAGAAACAAATTGCATTGCTTTAAATTAATAAAGAAGCATTAAAAAGAAGTTTTAATTTACTGAGTTGATAGTTAAACATGCACATATATTTATATGATTCTTTAAATCTGATAGGATATATTCCTAGTCATGTTCTATAAATATTTTTAACCTATCACCTGAATGATCAGAACATGCAACAGACTGAATAGTTACTAAATTTAAACTTCAAGTTATAGAAAAGCATGTTTTTTAGGGTGTATAATTCTTCATTATATTTCTGATATCATTATGAACAATGAAATTTCCCTAGATAGCCCTGCAAAAACTGACTTCTGGGATTATGGTGAAGAGTGGAACTGGCTTCTACCTCCTCCTGAATGAGGTAGGTCATGTATTCTGCAGCATAGACATGTTTTGAAAAGAACAAGTAAATCTCCGGGGAGTTTGGCCAACTGCTTATTCTTACATTTGAGCCTGTTGCACGCCCACACAGATGCCAAGGTATCATCTCTAAAACATTGGGAGGAAAAACCTTGGAATCGGTGCTCTCTTACTGAAAACGAAGCATTACTCAAAAAAAACAACAACAACAACAACAACAACAAAAAACTTTTTGCCTATTGCTGAAGTGGTTATATAGTAATGATTTACCTTTAAAACTTTCAAATGTTTATTTTTCTATGTCCTGGCAATGCTATTGATAGTGCTCAGGAGAATCATTAACTGCAATTAAATAAAGTATAATAGAATAAATAAATTGGTTAATATTGGATTCAGATAACATCTCAAATGTATTAATGTAAAGCTGTAATAATTTTAAAGATTGTAACAAATCTCCTTTGAAGATTGTATTTGTCATTTTTTGACCTGGAGCAGAAATGAATGAAGCCTGTTGTGACTTAGGTTGAAGCCACTGTATTGAGTTGCCCAAGTGAGGAGCCACTGAGAGGTGATCAATGGTTGGAATTTAGGCTGTCTTTCCTTTAGACGTAGTAATGGGCACATGAAGCAGATGCTCACTGGGAATGACAGACATTTGAAAGTGAATGGGGAAAGTGGAAGAGTTTGTAGTATATTGGAGAAATACAGATTCCATAGTGTACTCTTAAGAGTGCTGATATCACTTTAGAAAACGTTGGATTCCAAATATTGTTTCTATTGATGTTTCAGAGCTTCCAGAGATTCAGCAATCAACTTATTCCTGAGATTCCTTTGTGGCCACTTTTTACTGATAATCATCTTTCTCTTTGGGAGCTTGAAGACAGAGATACATTTTAGGTGTTGAATGTATGCTGAGCACCTTAGCTTAATCAGTTTGAAGTTCTCATTTGAATCTTTTTTTTTTTTTAAGTGGGCAAAGACCCTTGACTTGTGGGGTACCTCTCTTCTGACTGCCAGTCATAGGGCCTCATTTGGTATGAGCTGACTTGGGGTCCAGCTCCAGACATACACAATTCCTCACATAACCCTAAAGTCTCTTGCTTGCCATAGAGGGAGTCCTTAATTTCCTGATTGCTTTGCAAACAGTTCTTAAACTTCCAATTTTGTTCAGTTAATTTGGAACTAGAATATGTCATCAGAAAAACGTGTCTCCTATGGCACCTTATGCATATCCACAAGAGGGAAAATTAAAATTCTTTGTTAATAAAATTAATGATTATGTGTTGTTTCCCCCCAACTCCCAATAACCTTGTAACATTTTTCCAAAATACAATTTTGTTGAAATTTTTTTATTTGTAGCCGCTACTACACTGTATGGAAAAACAAACAACAACAACAACAACAAAAAGAAGCCAAGAGAGATTTCCACCAGTGCTTTCCAAAGAGCATTCCTAGTACCACTCACATTTTGTATTTAAGACAATTCAAACTGTGATCTCGGAGCTTAGTGATGACCCAGCCAGATGTTTTGAAGTGAGGGAGACACAAACAAATGAAAAAAGCTGTTCTTGTCAGCCAGTCCCCTTAAAATCATCATATCTAAAAAGAACCTGCAATAATTTATTTTCCTGCTAGGTTGAACATCCAGAATAACTGCTGAACAGCCTTAGTTAGTGAGTGTGGCCAACTTCACCTGATAGAATTCTGGCCTAAAGATAAGAAACTGTATGTTAGGAAGTCTGTGCAACCACACTGAGGATATAGTTATTACTGTAGTTTTGATTTCCTGAAGTACTAAGACCATGAAGATCCTGCCTGACAAAAGGCTTCATTCTTGCTAGCTTTTTAGGCATAAGAGACATTTGAGCCTACTGATGATGTAGGAATATATATCTAGTGCTTATGTTGTAAATTGCTGCTATTCTTTCCCAAACAGGGACCTTTTTACAGTAGCTCTGGACTGTGTGAGTAACAGAGCAGGGTGGCATGCAAGGGGAAAGGAGGTCCCCTTCAGAATCCTAGTTCTATAGATATTTGGAGAAGCCATGGGGATCACCACCCTCAACCTTGACTGCTGCTAGAGAATTCCTACAAACATAGCTCCAAATGAATTTCTCATCTTCTGTGCTGGCCATGACACTTGACTTGCCCTTCGGTGACAGCATTTATTCACAGAGCAATTATTTTATTATATTTCTTTTTCTACACTGGACTGTGAACCCCTGGGTGCAGCTCTCCTATGATGGCTATGCCAGTAATACTCTTTGACATGGTTTCCAGGGCTGAGCTATACCTCCACTGCCTGGAGGCATATCAGTTTTCCATTTTTCATTCAGAATCCCAGCAGTGCCTGTTTGTTGTGAGTAATTAGCTAGTGTGAAAGTCACAGAATCCATAGCCTCTACAAGCTCCAAATTTATTAACTGTCCATGGTTCTGCAATAAATTAGTGTTTTTAAAGCTAATATAAGAAAAAGGAAGTGATAGAATAGATATTATTGTAGTTATTTTAGAATTCTACTTTTTTTTTTTTTTTTTTTTTTTGAGACAGGATCTTGCATATCGCCAAAACTGGAATGCGGTGGCTGGATCATAGCTCACTGCAGCGTCAGACTTCTACATCAGCCGCCGGAGTAGCTGGGACCACAGACAGTGCTAGAATTCTACTGTCGTGAGTAGTCTGCGTTTAATAATCTTTAACGTCTTTCCAAGTGCTAAAATTTCTGATTCTGCAAGACTTGTCCTTGTTGTGTCAGTATTGACTTCCTTTTTCCAATAAAACAGTCAAACAGTTGTTTAGAGTGTACCTGTGGCTTATGAAAACCAAAGACAGCAAGAAGTTAGAGGACAGTGTAATTCCTATAAGACACATAATGTTATTTAACAGTTATTTAAAGCATTTAATTTTATAAGCGTAACATTCTCATGCATTTAAAACAACATAATGAGAAAATACCAATTCCACTGAAGCTCATTATGAAAACATTTTCAGAGTTCATACTATGGACTTGATATAGATTAAAATTCTTATGAGCTTCTCTCCAGTACTCCTAGGTATAACAGTCTTCGCCTAGACTGCTTTAATAAAGAGTAGGTCAGGTTATGAAAAATGTAGATTTTCCAATGAGCTTTACTTCTCATGTAAATCATAGATCACCAATAAATGATTGCAAAAAATATATCCATTTTACATCCAGAAAATTCCCAAGAATTCAGAATGTCTACTTTGTATTGATGGTTTTCTCTGGAGTTGCAAACACTGAGACTGAAATCAGTTTCGAAAACCATGCTTCAAATATTCATTTCAATTTGCTCTTGTGGCAGTTTTCGTCAAACAACCTGCTTGGAGATAATCTATTTGCTGAACCTAGGTGGGGAAAAACCTGCCACATTACATAATTCACTGAGCAGGTTTTGGCTCCCACTTCACCAATCCGTCTTAAATAGTGGCTAGTGCCCTGCATCTAGCAATACATATGATCAAGCAATTTAGCACAGAAAGAGAAAGGCCCCACAACTTGGCATCCCCGTGGACATTTATCTTTGAGAAAATCAAATGGATCCAACTTTTTGCCAGAGTTTAATAGCAAAGCTGCCACATTTTACACAAATGAGTATCCAATCCGCCAGCTAATGGAAAGGGGACAGGGAGGAGGGGACCAGAGGAGGTGGGGCAACTGACTGGACTGTTTTCAAAGTGACTCCCGTTTTTAGGGGAGGGGCTGGGATGCTCCACATGGCTGGAGAGACGAAGTAGTTAAAAATTATTACTAGTAAGGGGCTGGAACCTCGGAACCTGGGTATATAAGACGGTGCCTGAGCGCAGAGCGGCTGCTGCTGCTGTGATCCAGGACCAGGGCCCACGGGCTCAGACTCTCAGTTGTCAGAGGCGGGGGAGAGAAGCAAAGCGCAGCGGTGCGGTCCAAGCCGGGGCTCCTGCTTCGCCTCTGGGACACACAAGGGACTCCCTAACTTCAATCCCCAGACGCGCACCCGCGGAGTCCTGGGCTCCAGCCGGCACATCGGCACAGGCGCGGCTGGCGGCGGGTCCCGGCCAAAGGCGATGCGCTCAGGAGTTCGGGCAGCTGGGCTCGGGCGGCGGAAGTAGGGCCCAGCCGGGAGGCAGGGAGGCTGTGGAGTCAGAGCCGCGGGCTGCGCCCTAGGCAGAGGCGCCCTCGCTCCACGCAACACCTGCTGCTGCCACCGCGCCGCGATGAGCCGCGTGGTCTCGCTGTTGCTGGGCGCCGCGCTGCTCTGCGGCCACGGAGCCTTTTGCCGCCGCGTGGTCAGCGGTGAGTCAGGGGCCGTCCGCCCGGAGGGCGGGCTGGGAGAGGGGACCACGGGGCGCGGCGGGGCAGTCTGTCCTCGGGCGGAGGGTCTCCAGGGCGTTTGAAACCTGGGCGGTGTAAGGGCCCGGGAGGAGGCGGGAAGAAATTGATTGTGCTATTCTCCTCCCTCTCGTAACACACTCGCAGAAAAGTTTAAATTTTTGTGAAGCGCTTGCTTAAGTCGCCGCGGAGCGAGCTTCTGCTTCATCAGGAGCAGCACAGCCTTTTTCTGGATGATTTCCACTTTCTTTGTGAGAGAGTTGACCACAGGGTAGGGCTCAGCACCTGCAAAGGGGGTGGGGTAGGGCGGAGGCAGAGGGAACCCAGAGACAGAAGAGCTGCCGCAGAAATGCCACCCTCTGTGGCTCTGGCTGGACTTTGGTCCCTGCACCGTGTTCACTCGGATGATTTCTGAGACCAGATCAGTTCGCTATGGGTCGCCTCCGGATGCCTGGGCATCCAGTCTTTGTTCTCAGCAGGACTACTGGCAAGGACCTGGGGTATGCTCATTGTGTGTAGATGCTTTTCCTTTACACACTTCGTTCCAAGTTGGGGACTTCCCAGAAAATGAAGTCAGCTGGAGTTGGGCCGAGGTATACTTGGCAATGACTGCAGGTTTGGCACACAGTAGGTGCACAATTAGGTCTGTTAAATCAGTGCATGGGAAATGGATCAAAATTGGCAAGTTTCCCAGGTTTTCTTTGATTTTTTTTTTTTTCTCTCACTGTCCTATCGTTGAACAATTTATATTGCGTCTACTCTCTCTTACTTTTTGGGAAGGTCTCTTCAAAAGGATACATGTTCTCAGTGGCCTAAGATGAATGTGATCAGGGCCTCACAAGAAGGCTGAACCTAACTACACTTTACAGAAATCTCTTGCTATGCTCTTTGAAATACTGCAGTATTTGTTTGATGTATGTGTTTTGAGGGTAAAAGTTTTTTTTTTTTTTTTTCCAAACATAAAAAGCACAAATAGTCCTTTTCACTTTTGTACATCTATACAACAGGTGTCACTAGATGTAGAAATAGATGACAGATGACGGCACCTAATTCAGTTGTGAAGCCAGACCTTTAGACATTGACATATTAAGCTTAATTGTTACTGATCTTCCCCTGAGCAATTTGTGGTGTTCTGCGTTTCAGAATATAATTCTTCAATGTGTAGTTATCAATCACTCTACATTTTTTTTCAGAATTTTCAGAATCTGTGACATTAGATCCTTTTCCTCACTAATTTAGCTGCAAAGAAAAAGTTCATTATATAGATTCATCTGATTGTGTAAATTACCTATCTGACTTTGCGTTTATCAGAATTATTCATGCAACTGAATGAACAGCAGAGACCATGCTTTGAACATAAGTGTTTTTGTTTTTAAACAAACACTCATTGACCTAAATAATACCCTTTAGATATACCTTGTTCCTAGGCCTCAACATTGGCAAGGGAGACAAAATAATATCTAAAGTAAAAACAGAGCTTAAAAAATTGTTCAAGAGGTGTATTTTGTGTTCTTTGAGTACATAATTTTTTCCAAACCTTTTGTTATATTTTCTCATTATGTATTTATAGGCATCTTGTAGATGACATCTGGAAAATTTCTAATTAACTGAACATGATCTATTTGATTTAGCATAAATGATGATGTTTATTTGATATTAAAATAATTAGTTATGTTTTTCTTATGAATAATTCAATTGTCTTTGGTCATAAAATTCACATTGAAATTTAACCATCTGTAAATGGATTTGTAACATTTATTCTTTGAAGACTAATTTTTAAAAAAGATATATTTTAACCACAATGGCCAGAGAACACAGCAGCCTAAAGCCTGACATTTTTGTAGCAATAGTTTCTGATGGATTTGTTGTCTACCTGGTCAATGTAAGTTTTGAATTGGTGCATCAATTTTTTCATGCCACTTGGGTCCATTCACCAGATCTTTACTGAAGTTTGAGAGCCTCTTTGGGGCTGTCAGTAGGAACATACTGACCACATATGGAATATATTTCTATTTGTTAAATTTCAGTACAATTTATAACTCCTATGTAGGATACTCAAATAATCACTTACTCCAGAGAAAAAGATAGACACAAAATAATTCTCCACAGAAATTATCTTTAATACTTAAAAATATTCAATAAGATACTTTCCAATACTTTTAAATACATCACCTTTTCTAAAGTGTAGAATATTACTTAAAAACAAAGTGGATGTATTTTAGCAAGAAATGACATTTCAAACAACTTGGTCATCATAATCTGACCGATAAGATTTAGTAGCATCTAGTAGTAATACGGAAGTATTTTTTCTAGGTCAATGGTCATGCTTATTTTGATGTATGAATATGTAAAGTAATATGTGACATGATTATAGTAATCAAAGCCTATTTATTGAATTTATGATATTAACTTTGAAACTACTTTTAGGAGCTTAGACCTGTACTAATTTCTTACTACACACAGATGTGTAGCGAATATCTGTGGAAGCTGCAATCATTTAATTTTGTGAAGTGACTGGTGAGTAATGCTGTCTTCTTTAGGACAAAGTTAAAAAGATTTTACTTGTAGGCATAAGGATGAAGATGAAGGATTCAAAATTCAGGTCTCTAAGTTGGGAGGGTATGTTGGAAGCACAAGTGATAATTTTAAACAATTGAAGTGTTTTGAAGTAATGTGTTTCTTTTTTTTTTTCCTTTTTCTTTGTAGTGTGCATAGTAGTGATCCCCAACCTGTTTTTGCTGCAAAATGACATTAGGAGTATTCCATGGCACTTCCAGATTTCTCCAGAACACTTTAACATATGTTAATTTACCCTTATTAAACTGGCACACGTTTTATTTAGGAGACTGGGTGATTTAGAGACCTTTCTTCTTGTCATGCGGATACCACAGAATATTACAAATTCATGGGTGGTGAACAGTAGCACATAGATTAATATATAATATAATATAATATAATAGCAAGGGAGATACAAGAAAAACTGATGAGCATATCTCAGCCTATGGAACTATTCCATGACATCATCAAAAGCATAAAATGATGACAGTGCAGTTTTCGAAGATGCAATTACTTTAAGTATCTCTTGGGCATGAAAGGAACAATTTAATCTTATTACCAGTCATTTAATAAACTAACCATTTATCATGGCCATTATTCTTTAACTGTGTTTGTTATCATTTTATGGTTTTATTTTTATAATTTTTTTCCTGAAGAGGGAAATATCAATTACATTCCTTTAGAAAACAAGCAGCATTATATAAAGGAGTCCAAGATTAAAATTCAGAAGATGCACTCACAAACAGTTTTTACTATTTACAACAATCTTCTGTGTCAGGCATGCATATACAAGTAGATGGATGTGTGCAACTATGAGGTGAGAGTGTTTCTTTCATTGTTTTTAACATATTCCTGATGATATAACACAGGATGACAGCTTGGCTAAAGTTATACTCTTTGTAATGGGGAATGCATTCCATTTGGACATAGTTTGTTTTATTTTGGAAAATGAAAAGACTAGGGAAAAAATTCTTAAAGACATATATGGTTCGAAAATCTGAGACAGAGGCGACATTAATTCTTATTTAAATATTTGTAACAGAAAATCCGAACCTGTTTAGAAACAAGCTCTCAGGGCACAAACTCTTGCATATATTAGCCACTCAATAATGAATAACAGATTAATGCCAATGATTCTGACATAGACAACATGCACTGTGTATGTATTCATAAATCCCTTTTGTTCATGAAATATTTCACCTTTATATTAGGTCTGAGATACATGGAGACAGCAGAGAAATCTGGTAAAAGCATGGACTATAGAGTCAGATGGCCTGGTGACAAACCTCAGCTTCAGCAGTTGTGAACTGTGTAAACTTGGGCAAGTTATTCATCTATTCTCTGCCCATTTTGCCTCATTTTGAAAACAGATAAGACCTTTGTCATGGGATTGCTAGGAATATTAAAAAGGTTCAAATACAGTTGTGCAGGTTGTGCCCTGTGCCGAGGTACATGCCAAAAAGATAGAAGAAGGAGTTCAGTTTGGCAAGCCCAGTCCCTGGAGCTCAGGCCACCTGGAGGCCAAATCAACTTTTTCGGGTTGAACAGTCTATAAGGGGGACCTTTCTGCCGTCTCTCACCAGGAGAGGTCATCTTCTCCTAATTTATACCAAAGCATGGATTGTGGTAGAAGGGAGGCGTTGCACTCTAAATTATTGCTAAATTTCAGGCCTGTATTATTAGAATCATTATTTCTACAAAATTCATAACTGGTCTCATTATTTAAGTAAGAAAACAGGCTTGGGGAGATTAAATAATCCCACGTACCCACAATTTAAATGTAGAGTTTGGTTTCAAAGCTAATTCATTTTGATCGGCTACGTGAACTCTTAAGTCACACTGATACTTGACTTACCACTTACTCTAATCTCCATTGTAAATATTGTGATTTTTAAAAAAAATAGTCTCATCCTCTTCTCTGAAAGCTTATGGCGTTTTCCAACTGGAGAAGCAGGGCTTGCTGCCGCTGCCACCATCATAAAATGACCACAACCTACAGATTTAGTTTTGTTTATTAAAGTGGGAGAATGCATGCCAGTTATAGCGCCCTATGCGATTAAGTGCATTATAAAATCTGTGTTGTAAAAATCAAAGTTTATTATAATAAAACTCTCTATAAGAAAAAATTTGAGGAAGTTGGTATAATACTGAATGCGGAAAGCAGAACACTTAAAATGAATACCAGTCCTTGTCTTTTTAGTTCAAAAGTGCTGGCATTGGTCATTGGTATCACTGGCCTTGCATAGTACTATCAACATATTTCTCAGTGTGATTGTGAGGGGGAAAAGAAGAAATTATGAAAAAATATCTTACGTGATTCTAACAAAACATTCTAAGGTCATTCTGGTTTGGGGAAGATTTACCATGTGGATGTTCTTTTTTACTTTGTTTTTGCAACTCATGGTAGA